CCAATTTCTTTACCTATTTCATTTACTTTAAATTTTTAATAGGTAATTATATTTTCATGACTCAAAATTCAGGAGATGTAAGGCATACAATAATGAACTTCTGCCTATCTCAATTGCTAATTACCAAGTCTCTTTCTCTGTCCTAAGTGTTTTTTATTTGTATATAGCAGTTTATTTATTTATTTATTTTTGTCTTTTTTAAGACAGGGTCTCGCTATGCAGTTTAGGCTGGCCTTGAGCTCACTTTGTAGCCCAGACTGGTTTCGAACTTGCAACGATCCTCCTGCCTCAGCCTCCTGAGTGCTATGATTACAGGCATGTGCCACCACACCCAGCAGATATAGCAGTTTAAAAATATATATATATACACACACATACATACATATACATATATACATGTATATACATATGTGTTTTGTATCTATCTATGTATAGATGTATATATCTAGAAGGACCTTGGTATTTCTTTTTCTTTCTTTCTTTTTTTTTCTTTTTGTCTTTTGAGACAGAGTTTCGCTATGCAGTTCAGGCTGGCCTTGAACTGATTTTGTACCCCAGGTTGGCCTCACACTTGCAGCCATCTTGCCTCAGCCTCTAGAGTGCTAGGATTACAGACCTATGCCACCATGCCACCATGGTGCCACCATGTTTTTTTCCTGAGAAAGTAAATTCACTGAGTTGTGAATTATAAGTATAGCTTTCAAATTTAAAATAATGGGTTTAAAAAAAAAGAAAGAAAATAATAGGTTTCAAATTTAAATACAGTTCTTGAAATGACACAGTTTGGAATCATTTAGGACCTACTTGATAAAATCATTTATCAGTGTTCTAAGAAAGTGGAATTTTTAAAAAAGGGAATATTGCTGATGAAGTCACATGTTTATGCCTTTGGTTGTGATGAAATTTTGGGCGCTTGCAGGTCAGCCTATATGAGAAGAGGAGGAAGGAAAAGGTTGCCATCGACTGACGAGGTTTTATCTTGATTTTCTGTTCCCTAATCTTCTAATCTGTAAATATTATATTTTTGTTTTGTTTTGAAAATTTCTAGGCAAACAGATGTCACATTTGTGACAGATAATTGAAAGTTGATCTCTTGATATATCAGATACTTTTCCCTTCCTTCTAGCTGAGTTGAGATGAGGATCCCTTTCCTATGCAGGGAAATTTTGTCACGAGAAGGGGCCTTGTGTGATAAGTTTAACTGGATGGAAGAGAATATATATGTAAGTGTTAGTTGATGCCCATGTACTTAGACTGAGACCTCATCTCTTCCTGGTGATACAAGTTTTGGCTCCACTGGTCCAAAGCAATAGAGTGGTGTGGCAACAAGTGCCTCATAAGGAATTTGTGAACAGCTTAAAAATAAATACAGTCTTTAAAAAGATCCACCAAGGATAACATAACAAATAAACCTCATTTCTAGGTAGGGCTATGAGACAGATTTTTACGTTTTCTCAGGGTCCAACCCCACATCCTGCATATGCTCAGCGAGTGCTTAATCACTGACCTACATCGTTAGTCCCTAAACAGATATGTGGAATCAAAGGCCTCTTATGTTCTTTGACAACAGTATAATATTAGATTGAAATACAGCGAATTGCTGTTTTGTAGATGCTCTGAAAACTCTGTTTTTGAAACCATAAGTTTTACTCAGTCAAAATTTGTAGTGTTAAGACTTCTGAACACATTGGAGCGCAAAGAACAGATTTAGTCTCCCACTTAGAACAACCAAGATATAAAGTGTATGAAATAATGAAAATAGGCATTGAATATCAGGCAGAAAAGGGCAGAGATCTAAGAGAGGGGAAATAGTGAAGGTGAGCCCATGATTGTCCCTACTCCCTTGAGAGAGTTTTGAGGTTATATTGCAGGAAGGAGGAACTCAGGCAGAGCCCAGTGGACTTCTGCTTGTGAAGATAAGGTTCTGGATAAACAAAGGTCACTACAGTTCACCAGACAGGGGATCAGAAGGGAGGGAACTGCACCCAGGCAACACTCCTGAGAGCTGTAGATGGTTCCCTCAAGTAGGGAGCTGAGCATAGATTAGTGCCCGCATGGCAGGGAGGGAACCAGCTGAGGGAATTAGAGTCGACGGTGCCTGCCACTCAGACAAGGCCGTGAGTGGTTTCTCTTCCCACCAGCTGACTGAGGAAAGCCTCATAACTTACTGGAGAGTGGGTAGACTAAACAGAAGAGCTTTTGCTCATTGATGGGAAGCACTTAGCCCAGTGATGGTGAACCTTTCGGAGCTTTCAGTGATAACAAACAGCCAGCTGCTATACAAGTGCCATAGCCCCACACTTAGCATTGCTTTAGTCCTGCATAGCAAATCTTAAAGGCAAGGCCTTGAAAAACATCAAACTGTTGCAGGTAACAACTGCCTCTCAAATGAAGCTTAGGACACTGGTACATGTCTGTAATCTCAGCACTTGGGAGGCTGAGGCAGGAGGATCACTGAGAGTTTGAGACCGGCCTGGGCTACATAATGAGCTCAGAGTCAGCCTGAACTATGTAGTGAGACCTTGTCTCAAAAAAACAAAAACAAGCAAAAAAGCAAAGCTTAAGAATATTTATAGGAAAGAATATGTATAATTAAAAATAATTTAAAAATTTTGAATAAAAAAAGAATACTTATAAGAATATAGAAATACCTACATACTTGGGCATGGTGGCACACACCTATAGTCCCAGTACTTGGGAGGCTGAGGCAGGAGGATCGCTGCGATTTTGAGGCCAGCCTCAGCTACAAAGTGAGCTCAAGGCCAGCCTGAACTACATAGCAAGACTCTCTCTCTCTTTTTTTTTTTGTACCAGGAATCAAACTTAGGACCTTGTGCTTGCCAGGCTGGTGCTTGTGCCACTGAGCTATATCCCTGGCCCAAGACCCTATCTTAAAAAGACCAAAAAAAAAAAAAAAAAACCAAAAAAAAAACAAACGAAATACCCAACAGGGCTAGGGATATAGCTCAGTGGTAGAGTGCTTCTCTAGCATGGGTTCAATCCCCAGCACCCCAAAAAAGTAAAAAATGAAAGAATTTTAAAGAAACACAATACCCAACATAAAACAAGACCAAGTTCCCACTATCTTAACTAAAGAATTTTAAAGAAACACAGTACCCAGCATAAAACAAGTTCCCACTATCTTGACTATCCCACTAATAAAAATAGGCAGGAGATTGGGGGTATGGCTGAGTGGTAGAGCACTTGCCCAGCATGTGCCAGGCACTGAGTTTGATCCCTAGTCCTGAAGGGAAAAAAGGCAGTTGTGCAAGGTTGTGACCTAAATTGAGGAGGTAAATGAATCAGTCAAGACCACCTCGGGGGGCCGGGGATATAGCTCAGTGGTACAGGTGCCTGCCTGGCAAGTGCAAGGTCCTGAGTTTGATTCCCAGTGCCAAAAAAAAAAAAAGACCAACTCAGAAGCCACCCAGATGTTAGAATTGTAAGCAGGCCCTAAAACAGTCGTTATAATTACATTTCATTTGTCCTAAAATATAGAGAGCCCTTCTGGGTACTTGTCACAGCCCAGGAAGTTACATTTGTAATCCCATGAAAAGTTATTGGAATTCTAGTGAGTTAATTCCAATCTGCCATTTCCAGTGCAACCCATGGTGAGAATAAAGACACTAAGGCATATTTGTAGTTATGGGGAGCCAAGGGGTCCTAAGTCCAGACATGATGATGGCATCCGGAACAAAGGCCTCGAACCCAGGCCGAACCCGGGTTTTATTCATTCATGAAGAAGAGAATGACTTGAGGATGAGTGACTGTGAGAACCGTGGGAAGCAGGTGAGTGCCATGAGCTGGGCGAGGTAGGAGGCCTGAAATCACCTCTGCAAATGCAGAGAAGATGATCTGCAGAAAAAGTAATATGCGTAATACAATTGAGATAGTATCTAATGTTTTGGGATCAGTACTTCAGCTCTGATGTGCAATCTTTCAAGCCCCAGGAAGTCACATCCTCTATCTTGAGGCTGATCCCAGCCTACAGCCTGGAGCATTGGCTCAATATCCGGGCTCACTTGTGGGAGCAATGGGTGTGTGTGTGTGTGTGTGTCTTTCTCTCTCTCTCTCTCTCTCTTGCTCTCTTGCTCTCGCTCTCTCGTTCTCGCTCACTCTCACTCTCTCGCTCGCTCTCTCTCCCCTCTCTGCCCCCCAGATACTATCATCAGCTTCTTGGCTGGACCTGGACTGATATGCATTGCCTAAAGCCAACTGAAGGGATAAGGAAAAGTCCTAGCCAGGTCTGTACATGTCAATACATGGAAATAGGGTCAGGCTCAGCCAAAATAGAGGCAATTACTCCCTTTCAAGGAGAGTCACCTAGGTGGTCCTCCACACTGAAAGTTGAAACATGGAAGATGTGTGTAAAGGGAGTTTTGGACTTATAAACACTAAGACGGTAGTGTGAGTGGTGGTGCACCTGTAATCCCAGAACTGGGGAGGCTGAGGCAGAAGGATTGTCTTGAGTCTCAAAAAACACAAAAAACTAGAAAAGATCATAGTGCATGAGATGAAAAATACAGGATAGGATTAATGGCAGATAAAACACTGCAGGAAAAAAAAAAGATTATTTTGGAGACATAGCAATGGAAACTACCAAAAGGTAAATAAGTAAGTGCAGAAGGTGAGGGGTGCAGGTGAGCTGTGTGCCACTTTCATGTGGTCTACTCTGTATGTGAGTGGGGTCTCAAAATGGGTATGGGAAATATTTGGCTGAAAAATAATCTGAATTTGATGAACCTATGTAACATGCTCAAGTAGAAGAAACTTGAAGAAAGTTACACCAAGGCACATGACAAATTTTTTGAAACAAGAAAATTTTAAAAGCACCAAGGTTAAAAGCTGT